AGCACTCTTCTTTCTCTCCACCAGCCGAGTTCATGCCCATCCTGGGCACCAACCTGAACCCTGAGTTCATCTCTGTCTGCAACAATGCCACCTGGGCCATCGGCGAGATCTGCATGCAGATGGGTGAGTGTGCTGCAAGTTGACGGGCCCCGCGCTGTCACCCACATCGGTCTGTTCCCTGCTGAGGGCAGGCCCCTGGCCGTGCCTGCCAGGCCCCTGGGGAGAGAGCCCCGGTGCTCCTTGAGGATTGCCGCAGTTGGTCTGGCAAGAAGACCTCTCTGAGTGGTTTCCGCCGGGAGACTCCCAAATAGCTGAAAGGCCGTCTGTGATTGGTCTTCCTAAAGAGGCAGGACAGGCGGCCTGTTCTGACTGGACTTTTGGCGACCTCCCGCCCCCACGCAGTCGGCCCACTGGGATTGGTTGGGAGACTTTGGCGGCTTTCTCCCTCCCCACCTACCCCCACAGGGAGTCTGGGCAATGCGGTCTCGCCCCGGTGTTGGAGCTGTGACTCCAAGGAAGCTTCTGGCGTTTGGAAGGCTTGGGTCTGCCCCTGGTTGGCCACGGGTCCTGAGCGGGGGACCAGCTGGAGAATGTTCTCCGTTCCCTCGGTGGTTGCAGGGGGTCAGTGCATAGATGCAGCTGAGGTCAGCATGGGTGGTCTGGGCTGTGCGGGGCTCTGACTGACCGGTCCCCCAGGGGCAGAGATGCAGCCCTACGTGCAGATGGTCCTCAACAACCTGGTGGAGATCATCAACCGGCCCAACACCCCCAAGACGCTGCTGGAAAACACAGGTGGGCACCAGGCCTGAGCCGTTGCCGTCCCCTTACCTGGATGGGGTTCCCAGCCGGGAGGGTAGTGCCGAAGAGACCTTGGGAAAGAAGCAGGGAAGGTTTCTGGGAAGACGTGGAAGGGGGTTCTGAGGAGAGCCCCGAGAAAGGTGTGGGCCTCAGGGGAGACCCCGGTTGGGCCTGTTCCCTTGGGGCCCATGGGGCGGGGCGGGTGCCTCGTGCCAGAGGCCCCGCCACGTACCGTCCCGGGGCCGCTCGGGGTTGCAGGTCGCCTGACGAGTCCCTCTGCCATTCCAGCCATCACCATCGGCCGCCTGGGCTACGTGTGCCCACAGGAGGTGGCACCCATGCTGCAGCAGTTCATCCGGCCTTGGTGTGTGCCCCCCTGCGTGGGGCCTGCGTACGGTGGGCCGGGCGGCAGGGCGGGGGGGGGGGGTGGGGGGCAGGCCCGCCCCTAAGTGCACGCGTCCTGGCCCATCGCCCGCCGAACCCTCGCTCCCGCCACCCTGTGTAGAAACACAGCACACCCCGGCCCCACCACCCGCTGACCTGCCGCTCCCCACTGACCCCCCCGCCCCCCTGCCCCCCTCCACCACAGATGCCCATCCTGCCCCAGCCCTGCCGGCTCACTGCCTGCTGCTCACCTCCCCCACAGGTGCACGTCCCTCAGGAACATCAGGGACAACGAGGAGAAGGACTCGGCTTTCCGAGGCATCTGCATGATGATAGGCGTCAACCCCGGGGGCGTCGTGCAGGTTGGGGCAGCTGGGCCTGGAGGGAAGGCACGGGGGCCGGGCCCGGCGGCCCCTCACACGGGACCTGTCGTGTTTCAGGACTTTATTTTCTTCTGCGACGCCGTGGCTTCCTGGGTGAGCCCGAAGGATGACCTTCGGGACATGTTTTATAAGGTGAGCTCCCCCGTGGCCCTGCCGCGATCCCTGCGAGTCGGGGGGAGGGAGGCCGAGCTCCTCTCGCTCTGGCCTGGGGCGCCCCTCACCCCCCTGCCCCCCGGCCTCCCCGCAGATTCTCCACGGCTTCAAAGACCAAGTCGGGGAGGAGAACTGGCAGCAGTTTTCTGAGCAGTTCCCGCCTCTGCTCAAGGAGAGGCTGGCCGCCTTCTATGGGGTCTAGATGAGCCTCGCGACCGCCAGGTGAGGAGGCTGCCCGCGAGGGCGCTGTGGCTGTTGTAGGGGGGCGGAGGGGTGCAGGCCCTGACCCCCGCCTTTCCCCACAGGTTTCTGTCTGCGTCGTTGGAGGGGTTGCTGGGGAGCACGCTGCGTCCGGAAGTCGCCGTGCCCTGGTCGAGGGGGGTTAGGGAGGAGTGAGCGGGACCCAAATCCAGACGCCTTCCCCGTCCACCTACCTGCCACGGGTGTGTGTGGCCTGCCGGCCAGCGGGCGAGTGGGTGGGGTCTCCACACTCATCCTACAAACAGGGGAGGGGGGTGGGACTTCTTGGCAGCAAGGGCCCTTTGCTCAATCGGGGTCGTCTCGGGCAGCCCACCTGGGCCAGCCTCGTGGGAGGGAAGATTCAACACGGCCGACCGAATCCGGCTTAGGATGAGGCGAGGGGAAAGCAGGCGGGGAGGGGGGTCCTTGTAGAGACACGTACACTCACATGTACACACGTGGCCACACGCATGTGCGGCGCTGCAGCCAGCCAGGCTGGGCCAGCCGCCCCACCATTTCCCCGACTGCATGGAGACAGTAGAATTAGTGAACCCCTGAGTTAACCCGTAAGGCCTTCCGTGTAACCTGCATCTAGAGTTTAAGAAGCTTCTGCTGTTTTGCCGGAATTGGTGACTGGGGAGGGCTGGGTGGGTTGGGGGGCCTCCGCCGGGACCCTGGGGCGGGGGAAGAGGACGGCTGTCTTCAGGCCGCCCGAGTCCGCTCGCGCACGCTTCGGACCTGCTCCGCACACTTCCTGCCGGCTCTGTGGCATCCACAGCCTGTGCGTCCCCCTCCTTGTTGTGTCCCAGCCAGAAGAGTGGGGACTGCCGGAGTGGCCGAGGCTGGCCAGAGGTTGCCCTTTCTCCCCCCACTGTGCTCCAGTGACTTTTGAGGACGCTGGGCCAGGACCTTTTTCCTGAAGAGGGCTGGGGGCAGCCAGAGCTGCTGACCTCTACTCCCTGCGTCTCTCCATAAGCAAGTCCGTTTCAAGGGCAGTCTGTTTCTCTGTGCTTCTTAAGAGCCCTCCTCTCAGGTTCCAGCCTGAGTTTTAACACGAGGGCTGGGGCCGGGGCATTTAATTGGTGGGGACAGAGGATGAAAGTTCAGGCTTTGGCAGCAAGAAGGAAATGAAGGGCTTTGGAGGAGGAGAAGGTGGTACACCCCCTGACCCCACTCTCTCTGTCCCTGGGGCTTCCTGTCTTCATGGCTCCCAGCGGGCTACAGGACCCCACCAGATAGGGGCAGTGATTCTAGGGAACCTTCTGGGAATGGTTGGAGATGCAGTCACAGTGTGGGCGGCACTCCTAGAGGGGCGAGGGGGGTATGGTCACTTCTCACTTGGCCTCAGAACTGAACCGGGCCCTGCAGCCCCCTTAATGTTTTCCTTTTTCTCCTCCCTTACTTTTTGCTTTTCTGGGGGTCGTTTTGTGGGGCTTTGACTGGATTCCTACATCCTGGGACTTGTCCCATTCATCCCCGCAGGGCCCTGGACCCGGCCCCGTTATAGCCTTGTGTCTTCTCCCAGACAGGGTTGGGCCCTGCCTCGATTCCAAGGGATACATGGTGCACATTCCATAAACTCAGCTGGCTTCCTTACCCTGTCAGACTCCCAACAGGTCTCTGGAAGCCATTTGTTTAAAAAAAAAAAAAAAAAAAAAAAGGAAAAAAAAATTAGGTACCATTGAATTTTTTGGTAATCCAGTTCTTTGGGGCATCCTCTACTGGGCTTTGGGGGTTGTGGGTGGAGCGGCTGGCTGCTGGGATTGGTAACCCCTTCTCCACCCAGGATGGGGGGCTCCAGCCATTCAGGAAAGGGAGCCTGGTTCTAGTTTTCTTTCTTCTTCTTCTTCTTTTTTTTTTTTTTTTTAAGAAAACTATTTAATTTTTTAATTTATTTTTGGTTGATTTTTGCACAACGAAGTTTCAGCTTCTCAACCTTCCTCCCTGCCCAGGGCTGCAGACCCTGACTGGCCTCGATCTGCAGTTCCTCTGTTTTCCACATCCCTCCTTCCCCCTCCCCCTCCTCCTCCTACGGGCTCCAGGGTCTGTCCATTTGTTACTGTGCCGTGCTGGGGATTGGCGCCGAGGTGGCGTGAGATTCCACTTGTGTAGAACTTTGTTGAGTAAAGATCAGTTTCTTGTGAAACACTTGGTCTCCATCCAGCCTCCTGTATCCTCGGCTTTGGCAGTAAAGACGTGGAGGGGCTTGCCTGGGACGCTTTAGAAGTAGGGATGCACAGGACTCAGGAAATCATTGGCGGAGTAGGGAAGTAGGTAACCATTAACAGGGTACATTTCTCGGTACCTGGAGCCTCTCACTTTTCTTCCCAGTGAAATGGAAAGGTGAAAGTGAATGACTAAGATTAGATGTCCTAACATACACATGTAGTGTGTTCTCCAGAATGTAATTACAGGTCTCTTGAATTCAGTAAAAGGGAGCCTTTAGTGTTGCAGATCCCCATCTGCCTTAGACCAAACTAAGGGGCAAAGCCTTGCAGCACTCCTCTCCGCCTAACCCCACAACTCCGGGTCATGGGGCAGGTTAGATGTTTTTGTAAAAAGCTCGGCACCAGGCCTCTTGGAGGTGTAATAAGTATGAGTGACAGTTACTGAGGCAAATGAAAAACTGCTAAGCTCTTGGGGACACACAGCCTCAGAATACAATCTTGTTGCAACCTCAATAGGGCCCAAAGTCACGTGCATCATCTTGGGGGAGAAAAGCGGACACGGACATACATCCAGCATCCATTCAACACACATTTTTAGCGAGGGCACAGGAGATAAGCAGTGCAACAGTGATCTGTCCCATAGAGAAAAAGAGAGGAGGGGAAAGAACATTGGGAAAATGGTCAGTGTTACCGTAGGGTACTGTGGGGAGGCCTCACTGTGAAGGTGGTAACCGTTAAGCATCCGACTTCTGCTCAGGTCATGATCTCGAGGCTCCTGATTTCAAGCCCCGCATGGAGCTCTGTGCTGACAGCCCAGAGCCTGGAGCCTGCATCCAATTCTGCGTCTCCCTCTCTGCCCTTCCCCCGCTTGCACTCTCTCTCTCTCTCTCTGTCTCAAAGATAAATGAACATTTAAAAAAAGAGTGAGGCAGAGAAAAACAGCAAGTGCTCTGGGATATTTATATGGCTCGGTTAACACCGCCTGGCTCAAAAGAGGCTTTCAGTAAGTAAGAGAGAAATAACGATTATAGGGAATTCAGAGATTTGTTTCACCGAGGACTCTGCAGTACAACTGCACCTTTCTGGCTCCGGAAGGAGAGACAGGAGTTGAAGTCCCTATAAAAGCCCCAGACTTTGAACTCAGAAGAGAGACTGCATTTCTAAGCCCAGTGTCTCCTGTGAGCGATGCCTTTGGCCGAGCCGCGTCAAACCGGAGTCGGCTGGCCGTCTGTATCAGGACCGCCACAGATGCCTGTTTAACAAACGCTGGGAGCAGGAATCTACATTTTCCAGCCCAGGGCCCACGGGGCTGTACCGTGGGAGCCCTCAAAAACAGTGGGGTCCTACGGTCCGGCCGGTTTCCGCGCGCGCCACTCGCTTCCGGTTGGCGCTGCAACATCATTAAGCGGCGCCGGAAGTGCCTTCGCGCTGCCTAGGAGACGGGACGCGGGGCCGTCGGCTGACAGGGCCGGGCTGGCCGCGCCCACTCGGTCGCCATGGAGCTTCCCCCAGGGCCTCGCGACGATCCCCGCGCCTGGGACGATGACTCGGACCCGGAGCCTGAGCCCGACCCCGACGCGCAGGCCGAGGCTTACGTGGCCCGCGTGCTCAGCCCGCCGAAAGTCGGGCAGGCGCTCCCGCGCGCGCCTTTGCTGTCGGCTCCGGTCGCGTCCCCTGGCGCCCTGGAGCCGCGGGCGGCGTCCAAGGGTCCGCCCGTGGGCGTCCCGGGCCTGCTGAGCCTTCCTCCGGAGCTGCTGCTCGAGATCTGCGCCTACCTAGACGCGCGTCTGGTGCTCCACGTCCTGCCGCGCGTGTGCCACACGCTGCGCGACCTCGTGCGTGACCATGTCACCTGGAGACTACGCGCGCAGCGCCGCGTACGAGCGCCCTACCCAGTGGTGGAAGGTGCGCGCGCCTGGGGGGCCGGGGTCAGCTGCCCAGATTAGGTTTGGGGCAGGGGATTAGATACCTGGGGTGCTGTGAGCAGAGTCCTGGAGCAGGCTTCCTGGTTGTTCCGGCTTGGGTGGAGGCTGAGGTAGTTACCGATGGTGCCAAAGCCCCTGACCTTCCGGGTGGACCGTGAACCAGATGCTTGGGGTTCCGGGGCTGTGGAGATTTATCCTGGGGGGTTGGGGTCCCTGAACTCAGGACCCAAGGATCCTCAGGCTTGGGGTCCGGTGGTTGACACAGGGACTTGAAGTCTCAGCTTCTGGACTCTCTTGGGGGCTCAGGGTAAGCCAAAGAATCCTCTGAGTATAGACGCTGAGCTAGCAACTGGTGATCCAAAGCCCCTCACTCTTAGACTCTTGACCTAGGTAGGAGTGAGGAATGGTCTAAAGGTCCAGAGCCTGCAACCCTTGAACCCAATCTAGAGTTTAGAGGTTAGGATACCCACAATCACAGATCCCCAAGCCCAGGGTCTAGCCTGATCTTAGGCAAGGGCTGGTGGTAATTCGTCCTGAACCTGAGGTCATTGGTCCCTGGGGGATAAGACAGCTTTAGTGACCTTGAATTGATGAGACTTTTCTGAACAGCTTGATAAACATAGTTCCTGGAGCCCCATTATACCACTGACTCTCTGCACCTGGGGCTTGAGTTCTACATCTTGACAGAGCTCCCAAGTTTACAGATTTGACAACACTAATTTGACAACACTTCATCGGGTCTGGTTAAGATCATTGATGCAAAAAGTCCTAGTTCCGAGGCTTAGCCTGAGGGTTGAGGCAGGACCTTAACGTCCTGAGGCTACTATCCTCAGGGTTGGGGGGGGGGGGCGGTGCTGAGGCCTGGGAAAGCGGCACTGAGTCTCCAGTTACCCAATTTTTGGAAACTGGGGTGAGTTGTTCTAGACCTGCTTGGAAGGCTGGTGGGCTGGTGGTCCCAAAGCTAGATCCCGGGCCTCCTTGGGTGGGGTGAGGGCTTCCGGGGTGGGGACGGGGGGGGCGGTTTCCAAGTCTGGTGAAGGTTGGGCTTCCCGGAAGCCAGAGGTGGGCTTGGAGCTGGTGTGGATGTTGGGATTCCTGCCCACTGGGGACTCTGCTCACGGTGCCCCACAGAGGAGGACTTTGACTGGCCGACGGCCTGCATTGAGCTGGAGCAACACCTGTCGCGCTGGGCCGAGGACGGGCGCTGGGCTGAGTACTTCTGCCTGGCCGACGGACACTTTGCTTCCATCGACTCCGTGCTGCTGCTCCAGGTGAAGCAGGGGCGGTGGGGGGCAGGCAGGGGTGGGCTTGGGTGACCCCGACAACACCACCTCACTCTCTTCCCAGGGTGGGACGCTTTGTCTGTCAGGCTCCCGAGATCGCAACGTCAACCTGTGGGACCTGCGGCAGCTCGGGGTGGAGCCCAGCCGAGTTCTAGTCAAGGCCCTGGGCACCCAGAAGAACAGCACCCACAAGGTGAGGGGTTGGGAGGCCATAAATAAATATTTTGAAAAGGGGGGGAGGTTGCCTGGGGGGCTCAGTCGGTTGAGCGTCCGATTCTGGATTCCGGCTCCAGTCATGATCTCACGGTTCCTGAGTTTGAGCTTCACTGGGCTCTGCACTGGCAGCGCAGAGCCTGCTTGGGACTCTCTGCCCCTCCTTGAGCTCTTTCTCTCTCTCCCTCTCAGGTAGAGAGAGAGAGAGAGAGAGAGAGAGAGAGAGAGAGAAAAATAGAAAAATAAAAAAAAAAAAAAAGGAAGCCAGACAGGGGTAGGAGGGGAGAAGCCTGGGTTGGGCGCCGTGGCTAAGGGCGTGAGTTTTCTTTGGCACTGGACCTCAGAGATTTAAATCTTGACATTGTGACATTGGATGAGACGTAGGGCTTCTCTGGGCCTCTGTTTCTACTTTGTGTGGGGTCCGGATGAGAATGAATGGGATGAACGCACACTAAGAGCTTCGCTTAGGCTGGGACACACCACAGGCGCTCGGTGGTCGTCAGGCAGACCTTGAGAGGCACAGGGCACGGCAGGTGGCAGTTACGAGGCTGCCGGCGGGGATCACAAAGCTCTGAGCATGGCTGGCATCTCGGGAGAAATGGCTGTGGAGGGCACCTCCACCAGTCATTGAGGTGGTCTAGGCAGGTGGCCAGGAGCTTGGTCTCAGAGCCAGGCTACTGGGTTCAAATCCCCACTCTGCTACTTTCTGGCTGTGTGACCTTGGGCACAGGATGCAACCTCTCTGTGCTCCAGTCTCTTCATTTGTAGAATGGGACACAATTACAGTACTGTCCTCAGAGAGTCTGGCGGGGGGTGGGGGGGACTTAGTCACCAGCCAGTGCTTTGTGCATGTTAGCTCCTGAGACAGGGGCTGTGTTTTGTTTTGTTTTGTTTTTTTAATTTAACGTTTATTTATTTTTGGGACAGAGAGAGACAGAGCATGAACAGGGGAGGGGCAGAGAGAGAGGGAGACACAGAATCGGAAACAGGCTCCAGGCTCCGAGCCATCGGCCCAGAGCCCGACGCGGGGCTCGAACTCATGGACCGCGAGATCGTGACCTGGCTGAAGTCGGACGCTCAACCGACTGCGCCACCCAGGCGCCTAGGGGCTGTTTTTTGTGCCCATCTTCTCAGTGAAGAAACTGAAGGAGGGTACTTCATTTGCTCAGGCCATGGAGTGAAGGCCCCATTTTTTTTTTTTTTTAATTAAAAAAAATTTTTTTTAACATTTGTTTGTTTTTCAGAGACAGAGACAGCAGGAGCGGGGGAGGGTCAGAGACCGAGGGAGGGAGACACAGAATCTGAAACAGGCTCCAGGCTCTGAGCTGTCGGCACGCAGCCCGATGTAGGGCTCCAACCCACAAACCACGAGATCATGACCTGAGCTGAGGTTGGCCACTTAACCGCCTGAGCCACCCAGGCACCCCTAGTGGAGGCCCCGTTCTTAATCGCATTGTTAGGTGGCCTCAAACCACCACTGGTGCTGAGTCTCACAGGGATTTAGGAATATTCTGTGTGGGTGTGTACCCCTGGGCTCTAGAGTCAGACCCACGGACCTAAGTCCTAACCTCTACGTGGAGCTGACTTGTTCTGGGTCCCTGGGTCAGTTGTCTCCGTCCTCTGACCCTAAATTTTATTACCTCTGAGAGGGGGATGATCGCAGGTCTGGTCCACAGGGCTGGGTGTGGTCGCTGGCAGCGCTGGACCACCGCGTGTGCTCCGGTTCCTGGGACAGCACGGTGAAGCTCTGGGACATGGCGGCAGACGGGCAGCAGTTTGGCGAGATAAAGTGTGTGGGGTCCTGGGCAGCGGGGGCAGGGCAGGGCCGGGTGCTGCGCAGTCGCAGCCCCGACCTTGCGGTCCGTGTGTTCCCAGAGGCAAGGCGGCCGTGCTGTGTTTGTCCTACCGGCCTGACATCCTGGTGACTGGCACCTATGACAAGAAGGTGACCGTCTACGACCCCAGAGGTGGGCTAGGGGCCCTGGGGCCTAGGTGGGGAGAGCAGGGCCACCTGGGGTCTCCACGGTCATGCCGGGGAAGGAGACACTTGAACCTCACAGCCTGGCTGGGACGATAGTCACAACCAGAGGCTGACCACTCAAGAGTGGCCTGGGCTGTGCTGGGGGCAACCAAGGCAACTGGTGGGGGGGGGGCCGGGTGTTGGGGCAGAAGCCCCCCTCCAGCTGTGGCGAAGGATGGGAGGGCTCCGGAGGAGGGGCCTCTGAGCCTCAATGCTGTGGGAGGTGGAACAGCCCCCGAGAACCCTGGGTCCACCACTTTCTCCCTCTCAAGCTCGAACCGCAGTCTCCCCATCCGTAAAATGTGGATAATGACTCCAGCCCCATAGGGTTAACTGGAGGAGATGACAGTAAGAGCCTTGGTGGAGTAAATGTTCACATAAAAAGCCTAGGATAAACACTGCCCAGCATACGAGCCTTTTCTGTTGTCTGTCTATTTATTCTTCTTTTACTTGAAGGGCTGGGGCTCTTGGCCCAGGCACAGCCAGAGCAGGGTGATGGGTGATGGTGGGACTGGTCTCCAATCAGTCGGCAGGAGGAAGCGTTTTATGCTGGACTTGCCGAGGTCTGCTCTGCACTGCGAGCAGATGGGGTTGCGATGGGAGATGGGAGGGCAGAGACTTGGGGGTCCTGGATGGCCCAGATCCAGACGGGGCAGAAGAGAAAGACGGGACCACTTGCAGGATGCGGGTAGGCGGGGCAGACCAAGGATTCAGCCGAGTGGGGAGCGGCCTGGGGCCCCCTCCGAGGGGCTCTGACGTCTCCCTCCTCCCTGCATCACTCGCGAAGCGGGCCCGGCGCTGCTGAAGAGCAGGCGGCTGCACTCCAGCGCGGTGCTGGCGCTGCTGGCGGATGACCGTCACATCATCTCGGGCAGCGAGGACCACACACTCGTGGTGTTCGACCGCCGGGCCAACAGCGTCCTGCAGCGACTGCAGGTGCGCCCTCCCCTGCGGCCTGGAGGGACGGGGGCTGCGGCCTGGCCTGGCCTGAGCTGCCGTGTCCCGCCTCCCTCCCACAGCTGGATTCCTACCTGCTCTGCATGTCCTACCGGGAGCCCCAGCTCTGGGCTGGTGACAACCAGGGCCTGCTGCACGTCTTCGCCAACCACAGTGGCTGCTTCCAACTCGTCCGGGTCTGCCGGGGCTCTTGCCCCTTGCCCAACCGTCCCTGGGCCTCCTCCCTACCTCTCGACCCCTGGGTGGTTGTCGGGCTGGCGTTGGGAGAGCCCTTACCTGAGTGTCACCTGTTCCTCTTTTCTGCAGTCCTTTGACGTGGGCCACAGGTCTCAGATCACAGGCATCAAACACTCACTGGGGGCCTTGTACACCACGTCCACCGACAAGACCATCCGGGTGAGGCCCCAAGACAGGCTCCCTCCCCCCCCCGCCGGCCCCCCCCCCCCCCCCCCGCTGACGGTCAGAGGTGCACTTCCTGACCTTTGCCCATCGCCCCTCACCAGGTGCACGTGCCCACGGATCCACCGAGGACCATCTGCACCCGAAGCCACAACAATGTGCTAAACGGGGTAAGGCCCTGCCCTGTGCACCCACCCCAGCTGCCCAGAACGGCCCTGACTACTTCTGTCCCTGCCCTCCCAGATTTGTGCCGAGGGCAACCTGGTGGTAGCTGCCTCTGGGGGTCTATCGCTGGAGGTCTGGCGGCTGCAGGCCTGAGCAGGCGGACGTGGATGTGGATGTGGGTCTGCCGGCCCGCAGGCTGGGCCAGGGCTTCTGTTCTCGGGGGACCTTCCCCCACGCCGGTGCCGCCTCCGCCCTGTCCCGAAGGCCTGGGGCCCAAGGAGTCCGGGCCACAGTTAGGCAGTGTCCCTGGGCTGCGCCCCACGCCAGGGAAGGTGAGGTTGCCGTTCAGGCCCACCCAGGGGACTGCCTGCTCCCCTCCCTTGGGCCCAGTTTTTGTTACGGTTTGGACACCTGCTCTCCCTGGAGAGCAAAGGAGAAATAAACCTGATGTACTGGTGTCACCCGAGGGCTCTGCCTGTGCTTGCTCGGGGCGGGGGGGGGGGGGGGGGGGGGGTTCTGCAAGACGGTCGTGAAAGCCTTGGCAGCCACTACTTACGTCTGCGGGCACCTGTGCCCGCTCGAGTGCATTTCTGTGATCACGTGTGTCCGGGTGTCACTAGGGAGGTGACCCTGTCTGCGCACATCTGTGTGCTGGCGGGTGTGGGTGTGTGTGAGGGAGGAGGCCCCTGAGGGCGTGCGCACATCTGTACGACGGCACCTGTGGGCGCGTGTGACGTGTGTCGGCATGTAGAGTGGGACCCCGACCCTAGGTGTGTTCGTGCAGTGGGGGGGGGGAATCTGCTACTGCTGCCCCAGAGGTGCGGGGTGGGGGCGGTGCACGCCCTTCCATCCGGGAGTCCAGGTGTGTGTGCTGTTGTGGCCCTGACCCTGGGGTGGGTGGGGGAGGGAGGCTGGGCCGGGTGTGCGAGGGGTGGGGGGGGTGCGAGTCTGTGGTCCCCCTCTGTCCCCGTGAAGCCTGGCCAAGCCACGTCCCGAGGATCATTCACTTCCTTTTTATTGAGGCCTCCTGGGCGGTCGGGGCCATGGGTTATAAGATGGCACAGGGCTTCTTCTCCTTGAAGGGGTTGGTGGCAGCCGGGATGCCCACAAGGAAGGGGTCGCTCTTGTCCTGCTCCGCGCAGAACTGCAGCAGGTCGCCGGCCGCCTTGGACACCTGCGGGCCGGCCTGTCGGCTGGCCCCGGGCTGTCCGCCCGCCCCCTCTCCCGGACACGCCCGTGCCGCCCTGATCCTCACCTTCATGCGGTCGATGCCCGCCTCCACCCGCAGCTGCTCCACGGCCCGGCGGGCCTGCCCGATGTTGCCGCCAATGGCCACCTTGCTGGACATCTGCACGAAAGCGAGCAGGGTCATAGGCAGTGGGCTCGATTCCAGACCTTGAGCCCTAGGGGCTACCTGAGAGTCTCCCAACCACCTCTTGCGTCCTCTGGGGACTGTGGGAAGGGGGTGGCGGTTCCCCAAGCTCCGTCAGGACCACATACTTCAGCCGAGGACTCCGGCGGATTCCCGGCGGCTCAATCCTCCAGCAGCCTGGTTCTGGCTCCCTCCCTTGCCAGCCCGGCCTCTCAGCCCCCTCCTCTCCTCCCCCACCCCTGCAGAGACTTTGAAGCCTGGACACTCGTGGAGTGAAATGTCAGCGGCAGCAGCTGCCTCAGCTGAGGGGGGGTCCCTGCCCCAGGGGGCCCAGTGGCTGCACTGGTGTCACATGTCACCTTGGCTAAGGGGAAGGCGGGGTTCCCGGCCTCTGCTCCCCACCGTGTATAGAGTGTACCCTGGCTCAGGTGCGGGCCTGCCTCTCCCCCTCCATCTACACTCACCCCCGGGATCTTACCCACAGATTACTCCATCCACTTGTTTAATGCTGATGGCTCCACCTGTCCCCATCCCAGCCCCGTCCCTGATTTCAGAGCTGCCCAAAGAGCTTCCTGCTCTTCAGTCGGTCACACTGATGTCTCGGGGGTCTCTCATCTAACTCGGCCAAAGCTGGCCTCCAGATTATCCTCTCCCCCACCCCCACCCCCAGATCTTCTGCCCCCAAGTTCACCACCATCCACCCAACTGCCCTGGCCCAAATCTTGAACCCCTTCAATCCTCCCTTTCTGGTGTCCCCTTTCTGATCCTTTCCCAGGAACCCTCAGATCAACTTCAAATTAGGTTCTCAGTCTGGTCACTTCTCTCCACACCTGTTGGCACCTCCCAGGTCCTGCGCCCACCTCTGCCGGCTCGGACCTGTGCAGTTACCTCTGCTCTGGTCTCCCCTGCTCTTCCCTTCCCCACTGCCCCCGCTCCCCACCTCCCTTCTCAAGGCATCCAGCGGGATCTGGTAAAAAATCACATTACAACACGGATGCACCTTGAGAACATTATGTTAAGTGAAATGAGCCAGTCACAAAATGACCGATAATGCACGATCCCATCTATGTGAGGTCCCTAGAGGAGTCAAATCCATAGAGACAGGAAGCAGATGGTGGAAACCAGGGGCCGGGGGGAAGGGTAAGGAGTTAGTGTTTCCTGGGGCAGAGTTTCAGTTTGGAGAGATGAGAAGGTTCTGGAAATGTATGGTGATGATGTTTGTACAACAGTGTGAATGTGCTTAATGCCGTGGAACCGTACGCCTTACAGTGATTATGATAATAGGGGCGCCTGGGCGTCCTACTTCAGCTAGGTCTCTCTGCTGTCTGTGCGGCGCCTGCTTGGGATCCTCTGTCCCCTCTCTCTGCCCGTCTCCTGCTCTGTCTCTCAAAACTAAACATTTAAAAATGATTATGATAATAGATTTTGTTATATACATTTTACCACAATAAAAAAGAATTGGTGGGGGCGCCTGGCTACCTCAGCCAGTGGAGTGTTTGACTCTTGATTTCGGTTCAGGTCATGGTCCCAGGGTCGTGGGACGAAGCCCTGCATCGAGCTCCGTGCTGGGCGTGGAGCCTGTTTGGGATTCGATCTCTCGCTCTCTCCTGCTGCCCCTCTCCCCCGCTCTTGCGCTGTCTCTCTCTAAACAATAACAACATTTAAAAAGGAATGATGTATCTGGCTTCTGTTTAATGAGCTCTCTGGCCACAGCTGGAAGATGAATCAGAGGGAAGGTAGCCCCACGTGGAGGCTGAGAATGAGAAGCACCTGGATACAAATGCCCATTGAGTTGCACACCTGAAACTAATATAATGTGCTAGGTCAAGTCTATTTAAAAAAAAAAAAAGCACCTGGATTTGGGACCTACTTTGTGGGTAGCACTTGGTGGCTGTGCTGAGGGATGGATGTGGGTGTGAGAGAAGGGGAGACATCAAGTTCAATTCCCCAGTTTTGAACCTACCAGGTGTGTGGAGCGCTCCTTTGCTGAGTTGAGGGCTCTTTGTTGAGGTGTGGAAGACTTCAGGGAGATCAGAGTTAGGAGGAGAGGGACTGAGGTGGTGAGTTTGAGATCCAAGTGGAGACTGTCAAAGATGGTCTCTTCTTCCAATTAAGTAGGCTAATCTCTGGCCTCAGGACCTTTGCACTGGCAAAGGTTTCTTTACCAACGGGGGACGATGGGGGAACGGCCTCCCCAAATCTTCACATATGGGGACTTTCTTGGCCTTCTGGCCTTGGCTCAAATGTCACCTCCTCGGTGTCCTTCCCTAACTACCTGTCCCTGCAAATAAGGCCACCGGTTACCCCTCCATCCATCCCTAATTCAAAGACACATCATCATTTCTGAATCCTCAATAACACTTACCGCTATTGTTGTTACCTTTCTAGCTCCCCAAACTGTGGACTCCAGTAGGGCAGGGCGTGCATCTCATTCACTGATAAAGCTGCCGCGCCACACACAGGGCTCAACGTATAGTACAGACTCCATAAATTGTAGAGTGACTTGTTAAAAGAATCCCCCTGGACCAGACCCCGTCCAGGGCTCTGAGGACCCATACGATACAGACCCCGCCTTCGAAGGTCTCACAGCCTTGCTGGAGGGAGACGTCAGCCTTGGATCCCAGAGGAGGTCCCTTACTTTGAGGAAGGTCAGGGAAGGCTTCCCGGAAGAAGCGACAGCCGCTGCTGCCAGGGGAAGATCAGAGGGTTAGGTAGCTTGTGGAGTCTCTGGAGACCTGTGAGGCACGAACAGGGATCACTAAACCGTTTGATGAGAGACGCCCAGAGGCAGAAACTATCTGACATCTCCTGATGACTCGAATCCTGTCCAAGGGCGACGTCTAAGAAGCCATCCTTTTCCCCCAACGGGACAGAAAGGAACGGGAGAGCGCCGCGCAACGCGGTGGGTGTCCAGCAGGCGGCAGTAAAAGTAGGACTCTTCATCTCGGGCTGACTAGGGGCGAAAGGGAACAACGGCTCCTCGCGGCTTCCGTATTACGGAACGCACGCGCAAAGATGGACGCGTCCTGGATTACGGAAGTCACAGAGAGTCATGTGACCAAGCAACTTCCCGTCCCCTTCGGCAGGTTCTCCCAAGCCCTACTTCCTGCACTGTCTTACAGAAGAGCGTGCCGGGGCTTAGCGCGTTTCGAGGCCGCTGGAGGCCTGGCCTGGGGTGGCTGTGATCTGAGAGTGCGGCCGCAGGAGCATGGAGGGTCCTCCGGAGGGGGAGGCACCTGCAGCGGCGCTGGCCGCTGTGCTGAAGCACAGCTCGGCGCTGCCGTCCGAGAGCTCCCAAGTCCGAGGCTACGACTTCAACCGCGGCGTGGACTACCGTGCGCTACTGGAGGCCTTCGGCACCACTGGCTTCCAGGCCACCAACTTCGGGCGCGCAGTGCAGCAAGTCAACGCCATGGTGACGCCTGGGGCGGGACTTCCTGGATGGAGGGGGCGTGGTCACCAGTAGCAGCAATGCAGCACTTGAAGGGGGCGGGGGCTCCCTTGAGAAGGAGGCGTGTCCTCTGTTGGGCGGTCCAATAGGTGGAGAGAGGCAGGGCCCGTTCCGGGCGGGGGTTTCTGCGCTGGGAAGAGGACGTTGTTCCTGCACCCTCATCGCGTCCTACTTTCCGAATGATTCTAGATAGGGGGCAGGTTATAGGTGACCAGTGAGAGTTCTGGACGGTGCAGTTGAGGAGGAGCCTGAGTCAGGACGGGGTCTGAGCTCGGATTTGCTTTTTCCGATAGGGAAGGAGGCCGGGCCTGCAAAGGTCATGCTCTCCAATTCCTTGAAAGGGGGGTAAAACCTGAGCGTGTGCCCTGAGATTTGGGCTGTGAATGGGGAAGAGCCTGCACAGGGGACGTTCGTTCCCTGGTTCCAGGTATTCCAGGTAGAAGTGGTCCCCCATCCCTGAGTGGGCAGAACCTGGGGGCGAGTCCTCCGGCTAGTTTGGGGTCAGAGGGTGAGGGTAACTTGACCCCTCCTTTCCATCTAGATAGAGAAGAAACTAGAGCCGCTGTCGCAGGATGAAGACCATCATGCAGACTTGACCCAGAGCCGCCGCCCACTTACTGGCTGCACCATTTTTCTGGGCTACACATCCAATCTCATCAGTTCAGGCCTCCGTGAGACCATCCGTTACCTCGTGCAGCACAACATGGTAGGGACCTGGTGGGATTGTGGCCTTGGTTTTAGGGGCAAGATTCTCGATCATTTAAATGACATAGGGAGACAGGGTCATTTTTTTTTTTTTTTTTTTTTTTTGAGTTTATGTATTTTGAGAGAGAGAGTGAGCTGGGGAAGGGCAGAGAGGAGAGAGAATCCCAAGCAGGTTCACCACTGTCATCATGGAGACCAATGTGAGGCTTGAACCCATGAATTGTGAGATCATGACCTGCTCTGAAATCAAGAGTCAGACGCTTAACTGACTGAGCCACCCAGGTGCCCCCCCGAGAGTCAGTTTTAAGCAGAGGGACACGATCTAATTTTGTTTTGTAGTAGAGCTTCCCCCAAGGGTCACTGGATGAGAGCTGGGAATTACAAGCCATGCCTGGGATGAGGACAGGCCCCTTCCCGGGCCAACCTCACTGACTTGCTGCAGGTGGATGTCTTAGTGACCACAGCTGGCGGTGTGGAGGAAGATTTCATCAAGTGCTTGGCACCCACGTACCTGGGCGATTTCAGTCTCAGGGGGAAGGAGCTACGTGAGAACGGGATCAACAGGTGGAGACCCTGGGTGGTGCTGGGCAAGGGAGCTGGGCTGAGGGTCCTGAGACCCGATGCCCACATGCCTCACGTTCGCAGGATTGGAAACCTACTGGTGCCCAATGACAATTACTGCAAATTTGAGGACTGGTTGATGCCCATTCTGGACCAGATGGTGCTGGAGCAGAACACAGAGGTGGGGCAGGAGTGACCTGGGGGCAGGCATGGTAGGAGTCAGGGGAGGCACTGCTGCTTGAAGCCAATGTCTCCTCCTAGGGTGTGAAGTGGACACCTTCCAAGATGATCGCCCGGCTGGGCAAGGAGATCAACAACCCAGAATCCGTGTATTACTGGGCCCAGAAGGTGAGGGCCTGGGTGGGGCAGATACCAGGCCTGGGCATGTGTTAGCTGGTTTCGTCTTCATAGCCACCTGGGGAGCCAGAATGGTCTTCGTCATCTCCACTTTTAGGCGAAGAACCTGATGCAGAGGTTAGGTGGTTTGTCTGAGGTTGCACAGCCAGAGTGCGGTCTTGGTATCCTGGCTCTATTCCTAGACCACCTGGGATCAGCTGGGGTCGTGCCTCGAAACCCTCGTGGGGCAGGGCACATGGTCCCACGCTCCTCAGAGGCTGAGCTCCAGCGGCCGGAATAACGAGAGCTCCCAGTCTTTGTCAGACACGATCCTTAGCGTTTGCCTTGGGTTTCACCCCGTATGCCTCTTCATCTGTGAGGGAGGTGCCGCCTCAGCACTTTAGTTGAGGAAACGGAGGCCCAGGGAACTTAAGCACTCTGCCCAGAATCAGGCAGAGAGGAGGGGATCCCACTGGGATGGGGACCAGCCTGCCCACCCTGGGCTCTGAGCCCCAGCTGCTCTCCTGTCTTCCTGTTTCCCAGAACCACATCCCCGTGTTGAGCCCAGCGCTCACAGATGGCTCCCTGGGCGACATGATCTTCTTCCATTCCTACAAGAAGCCAGGCCTGGTCCTGGACATCGTTGAGGGTGAGGTGCTGGGGCCACGGAGGAGCAGGGGAGGAGGGCTGGCTGGGCCCATGGCCTGACCACGGCGCTCTCCTCCCAGACCTGAGGCTCATCAACACACAGGCCATCTTTGCCAAGCGCACCGGCATGATCATCCTGGGCGGGGGTGTGGTCAAGCACCACATCGCCAACGCCAACCTCATGGTGAGTGGGGTTAGAGTACCTGGTCCCTAGCGAGGGTGGCACTTGGGCTTGCCATGCAGACACGTCTGTGCCACGTGCCAGGGAGACAACCGTGGACTAGACAGGCCATAATCTCTGCCCTCCCGGAGTGAGGTTCTAGACAGGGCGAAGGGCAGCACACCAGGGCCGTGCACGTCGGGTGGCAGAAACTGCTATGGGAAAAAACGAGGGATGACAATTGGCAAGAGAACGGCGTGCGCTTCAGAAAAGGTAAGCTCTGGGAAATCCAACTTGTGAGCAGGGAAAACAGTCGGCGCAAAGGCTTTGAGGTGCCTGATTGAAGTCAAGGAACACTTAGGAGGCCAGTGAAGGGGAACGGGAAGTAAATAACCAGTCAGGCCTCCAGGGCCACCACTCGCGTCCTCACGGGCGCCCTCTGGCTTCTGTGGGGGGTACAAACGGCGGGTTCTGGGTAAGCAGTGATGGGACCCGGACCAGGACGGGAGTCTTCTGTATATTTGGTGGCAGTCCCTGCTGAACAGATGCAGGAGAGTAGTTGCTAGATAGCAGGTGGGTTGGGGGCAGCTCTGGCCACGCATTGACACGGGCCTTTCCTTCGAAGCAAGGGGCCACTAAGGGCTTCCTTCATGCAGAACACCTCCCTCAGCCTCTAGCTAGTCCCCTGCGTCCGTGTCTCTCTGCCTGCCTGTCTCCAGTAACTGCCTGACCAGGTCACCTTGCCCCTCCCCACAGCGGAACGGGGCCGACTATGCTGTCTACATCAACACGGCCCAGGAATTCGACGGCTCGGATTCTGGTGCCAGGCCAGATGAAGCAGTCTCCTGGGGCAAGATCCGGGTGGACGCACGGCCTGTCAAGGTGAGGGTGGTCAGCCGGGGTGCAGGGCACAGTCTCCCAGAATGCGGTCACAGGCCCCGCGGTTCACCCAGGTCCCCTCCGCAGGTCTATGCCGATGCCTCCCTGGTCTTCCCCCTGCTTGTGGCCGAAACCTTCGCCCAGAAGTCGGACGCCTTCACGCCCGAGAAGAACGAGGACTGAATGGCTACCGCACCAGCGAAGCCTCCCCTCCTCTATTTATTAGCGTGCAGTTCTCCCCTCACTCCTTGGTCAGCAGCGGGTCTCCAATAAATGGTCTCCGTGAGCCTGGAGTCTGTGCCCTTGGTGGCGGCGGGTCCCCTGGCTTCAGCCCGTGCCACCCTCCGCCTCATAAGCCTCTTCCCGCCAGCACTGGACGCTGCCCCCCACGGCAGTCAGCAGGCAGGGCTCCAGGGGGTGGTAGGACAGCGACTGCACCACACCAGGACCCACGGGCAGGGCCAGTGCCAGGGCACCCTGTGGAGGGAAGGATGGGGGGCAGTTACCGGTGCAGGTCTGTCCCCTGACCTCCAGCCACCTGCCTCGGATCCCTTCCCCGGCACCGCAAACCTCACCTGCCCCAAAATGAACCCGTCTGGCGTTCCATCCCTCCAGGTGCTGGGCCAGACACCGGGGGAGTCTCTCTCTCTCTCTCTCACACCTCCCACCCCTTTATCAGTAAGTGCTCCTGGCTCTGCCTTTAGACCACGTCCAGACTGCGGATGCTCTCCACATTCACAGCCACCACCTTGCTCCAATCTTGTGTCTCTTCCCAGCTTCTCTCCCCACGTTGCCACCGTCCAGGCTCTACTGGCCCACTGGGCAGCCTCCGTGCTCACTTCCTTCATCACCTTACAGTCATCGCTCAACACACACGGCCCCTCGAGCAGGCTCCAGATTTCTCTTCCCACTTCAAACATGTCCCTTCGTGTGCCCTTCCCTTCAGGGTGACTTCCTGTCTACCAGACTCTTGAGAAGTAGGCAGAACACTGGTGTGTTCTTAGTTCCCAGGCGCCGCCCCCGCCCTCCGTTTCCTCCATCCTCTCAGGGGGCTTACTTTCCCTGGCCAAGCCTCAGCCCTGACCCCGTTAGGCCAGAACTGTCTGTTCCCAGCCTGACATCCCCACCAGACACATCAGGACAGGGCTCACAGGGTTTGGGACTGGGAACCGTGGGGATGCTCAGAGATAGCTCAGGTTTCCTGAACCACAGCCCCACCTCAGCTTGGCTTCTGTGGCCTTGGTTAACCTGGCCCTGCAGCTGCCGCCGCGACCCCACAGTACTTGTATCTCCTGACCAACATGGGCCACACCTCCAAGCCTAAGTACACAGTTCCCTTTGCCGGGAATGTCTTTCCTGCTTCATCCTCCCACTCACTCCTCCCAGCTCTAACAGCATTGCCTTTTCCCGGTGTGGGAGTGATGGAGGCACCCTGGTACAGAGCTGGGGTGAGAAGGCTCACCTCAACCAGGTCCCAGAAGTACACCTTCCCGTCCTCGGAGCAGCTGACCACGTGTGTGTCACGCTCACTCAGGCAGCAGTCCAGCTTGTACTCCTGGTTCTTATGGCCCGTGTACCTAGGGGTCAGTGGGATCAGAAGGGGCTGGGGCTGGGGGCTGGGCGGGGCTGGGGGTGGGGTGGGGGCCACATCCTTGAGGACTCACTCGCCCAGCAGTTCCCCGGTGTCCTTGTCTAGAAGCCGCAACGTGGAGTCCAGGCTGGACACCAGGGTGCACTGCCCGTCCCGGCTGAAGCAGGTACAAGTGATGGGGCCTGGGGGTGGGGGTGGGGAGGGGTGCGGGTGAGTGAGACCAGGGCCCCATCTGCTGCCCCCGCCTTCCCTGCCTGCCCCACAGCCTGGCCACACTCACTGCCCACGTAGTCTGAGAAGAGCTGCCCCATCCTCAGGTCGTAGCGCCTCACCCGGCCGTCCACGGAACTGCAGAAGGATGGATGCAGCTGAAGCATCACCCGGGGCCAGTAGGTCCATGGCTCCAGTCCCAGTACCCTCCTTGACCCTGCCAGGACGCTGGGGGCAAGGCTGGGCTTGCCCTTCCTGTGTACCCTTCACTGTCATGCTCACACTCAAGGCTAGCCGTGGAAACTATGCACTAAAGTGAACTCACGAGTGTAATTCCGAGACGCTGGCTTTGAGACTTACACACCCAGGGCCAATCGGGACCCACTCCACCTGTTTCTGATACCGACTGAGCATGCTCTCTGGGCTAGTCCTTGGGACACAGCTGCCACCCAGCCAGGAGCACTTTCTGCCATCGTAGAGCCCCAATGACTGAGAGTAATCAAGGAAGACCTCCCCGAGGAGGTGACCTCTGAACTAGGACTTGAAGGATAAGGAGACAAACATCTGTGGTCCAGGAGACGTGTGGGAACAGGCCAGCAATAGGGTGGGAAGCCCCAACTGCCCCCACAGGGGGGAACGGCACTCCTCTGGGTTGTGGCAACACTTGGGCACCCGGGCTTGGGAATTTTAATTGTTTGCCTCCAGCAACTAGAATACCAACCCTCTGTGGGTGGGGATTTTTCCCGATTTCATTCACTGCTGTGTGTGCACTGACTAAATCACATGCAGGTGATGCTCAAAAAACACTAGGAGTAATTAGAAAGGGAGTCCAGGTAAAGGAAGAGCAAAGGCAAAGGTCCTGGGGTGAGAGCGTCCTTAGCACATGAAGAGAAATGAGACCAAGAATGGATAAAAGCTGAAAAACCAGCAGAGACCAGACTGTGCAGGGCCCTGTAAGCTGAGGGGAGAAGAGGAGATTTACAATCTAAGCAGAGAGGCAGCGGTGATCCCCCGTGGCACCCGGGAGGGGTGAGGTCCTGGCTCCACTCACCCTGCCAGGATCTCATGGTCCGACACCTTCACACTGGATATGCCATCCCTGGCTTCGTCCAGCGTCTGCACTGGCTCAGGCCTTCGAGATCGGCAGTCCCAGCAGCGTATGCTAGAATCGATAGAGCCTGTGAGGCCAGCATGACGGTGAGGTCAGGTTTGGGCTGCAGGGGCAGCACCCTGCCTAGGCCCCAGACTCACCAGACAGGATGACCGTGGCCTCTTCATTAAACTGGACTGTGTTCACCTTCTGAGAAACAGGAATTGCCACTCAGAGGAGGCTGGACTTTGGAGGACTGGGATAAAGGCAGGGTTCCGGGTTCCAATGCACGTTAAGGCAAGGGCAAAGGCTAGAGACAGGGGAGGTGAAAGGTTCTGGGGAAACTGCATGCTGGGCCATGGGGAAAGGATGCTTGCTCTGTAGTGGGCAGGGGTGGAAAGGTTCCCTGTCACCAGCTACATAATAATGCGGGTCCTCTCCGTCATCCACGCCCTAACGAGGCCTCTTCTTGCTCGTACTCACCCCCGCGTGGCCCCGGAATTTGCGAACGACCTGCCCTGATGCCACATCCCACAGCACCACCGCCTTGTCCCCGCCGCCGGAGCAGAGACTGCTGTTGTCAAAGGAGCTAGACGGCATAGGAGGGAAGGTCAGTGTTGACGTCGGATCCCGACCTCGGCACCCGTATCGCGGCCTGGCCCCCAGCTCACCCGGCCGCGTCCAGCACCTCGTAGCCGTGGCCACTGTAGGTCCGCAGCAGCGTCCCCCGCAGCGGGTTCCACAGCTTCAGGGTCTTGTCGCTGCCGCACGTCAGACAGTAATTGCCATCCACTGGGGAACACCAGGAGGGGATTATAGGGCCGCGGGCCTCAGGAGGCAGGAGGACACGGAATGAAGAGGGAGCTCACCATTAAATCGTACAGCTCGCACTGCCCCCTGCCCGCAGTCCAGCGTCTTCACTCGTTTTTGCGGCAGCTCCGGACCCCGCGGTTTGGGCTCAGGGAAAGCCATTTGTGTCAGGACCCTCCCCCACCGCCTTCAATCGGTTGGCAACGAAGATTTCGAGCCCTCGGAACCCACGCTTGGATGTAACCTTGTGCTCTTCCGCGGTCTACTTCCTGTCTCTCACTTCCGGTTCAGATGTTTGGCTTCTTGAAGATAGTTTTGGGAATACTGGAGCCTGATTCCAGCGTCCAGGTTTCTTTCCCCACTTCTTGTTGTCAAGGAACATTTTTGGTCTCTTCTAATTGTCTGTCCCCTGCCTGGGAGGAGTCCTGGCCCCCGCTGCCGGGAACGGAAGCTCGAAGTCTGTGGGTGCTACTCCAAAAGCCATCCTCCGTTTCCGCGCCGGAAACTGCAACTCCCGCAGCGGAAGAGGCTCGACCTCCGACCCGCCATGTCCACTAACAATATGTCGGACCCACGGAGGCCGAACAAAGTGCTGAGGTGAGGACCCCCACGTCATGGGAACGGGGCTCGGGTTGTGGGGCGAGGCCCAGGGAAGCGTTTGTCCATCTCGGGGGTGGGACTTGAGTGCCTCTGACCCTTGACCCTGCCGCAGGTACAAGCCCCCGCCGAGCGAGTGTAACCCGGCCTTGGACGACCCGACGCCAGACTACATGAACCTGCTCGGCATGATCTTCAGCATGTGCGGCCTCATGCTCAAGGTGGGCGCCGCCGAGTTTCCTTCGGCGTAGCTCCGCCCGACAGCGAAGCCTGTGGGGGCAGCGGATTCGGAACGAAGCGGGGCTGCTGCCGAGGGGGCGGGGCTGCTGCCGAGGGGGCGGGGCCTGGCTGGGGGGCGGGGCTGAGCAAGGCGAGGACGTGAGGGAAGCGAGGGGTCTGGGTGGGTACGTGGGAAGTCTGTCTAAGGGTGGGGGCCAGGTTTTAAAGCGGTTTGGAGGGGACTCGAAAGGATGGGGTTCTTAGCATCATGAGGTGTGTTAGAGGCCAGTCTTCTTGGGCCTGAGAGTATGTGGAGGGGTCAGAGACGCACGCCGAGAGAGTAGGACCAAACACTGGGTGCCTGGAGTAGGCTAGGGGGAATGGGACTGAGGGACTCTTGGGGGCAAGGTCCAAGCTGCTTCAGATGGAATCAGTCGGTTGGAACCAGTGCCTGGTAATGCCCCGGGGGCGGGGGGGTGGGGGTGGTGGGGTGGTCATTGGTGTGCCTTTCATTGACCAAATCCACCCACCCACCTACCTTTCCCTAGCTGAAGTGGTGCGCTTGGGTCGCCGTCTACTGTTCCTTCATCAGCTTTGCCAACTCCCGGAGCTCTGAGGACACTAAACAGATGATGAGTAGCTTCATGTGAGTCTGAGCCTAGAGAAGGAGGGCTCCTGAGTTAACGGGGAGTGGGGGACCCAAGCCTACCCCTCCTGGACTGACACCTGTCTCCTGTCCCAGGCTGTCCATCTCTGCCGTGGTGATGTCATATCTGCAGAACCCTCAGCCCATGACGCCCCCCTGGTGATGTCAGCCTAGGACCACTCTGTCCACCTTCCCCCAGGCCTGGCCCCTGGCTGCCCAGCCTCCTGCCCTCAGCTGCTGTCCTGGGCTTCCATGAATGCGGTAGCCTCAGGGCCCGCAGCTGGCTGGAGGGAACCTGACCCTTTCCCTGGGATTCCACTTCTGCTGGGCAGAGGGGAATACCCTGGGCCTACCCCTCCTGCCTACCTTCCCCAACCTGCCTGCTGCGGTGGGAGATGCTGTCCATGTTTCTAGGTGTACCCACTCGTTGTTTTGTTGTTGTTGTTGTTGAAACCAGTTAAATAAAGTTTTGCATTCTGGCGGTTCTTTGTGACCTCTCTTTTCTATGCATTGTGGGTGATCTTCCTCGTGGGGGGTGGGGGTGGGTGGGCTCCAGCTCTTCCACTCAATCAGGCCTTTGGTGGGGCTCTAGCCTGGAGCCTTCTGGTGGTTCACTTGCTTATTTCACAAGCCTTGTGACTTAAGTCAGCTGCTAGAGACAGGGAAGTGACCCCTGTCCTCTGGCAATTTAGCACATGGGCTCTGCTGACCTGAGGAATGTGGGCTTTGATTTTCTTATCAGACAAATTGGGTAATATCAGCCAACTGGATGGAATGACAGGGACTGGGAAAAGCATGAAAGGCTGAGACCTCCCCCACTGGTCACTCCTCACCTGAGTACCACCGTGGGTATTTCTTAAACAACTAGGCTGGATACCTCCCAACCTCAGCACTCTCAGGGTAGTTCCCGTATCCGTAATCCTCGTAGGACAGAACAGGACCGCCATCAACCCCTGCTCCTAGCCAAGCTAGGTCCCTCCAAGACCCCAGCCTTAAAGGTCAATGGGACACCCTAGGATCCTGTGCACACACTCCCACCTCCTAGCCAAAATTACACCCATGGGAAAGTCTGAGACCGATGCATCCACGGGGACAAAGGGGCACTCCGAGGCCACTCGGAGGTAGGGAGACACTAAAGGCTCTTCTGGCCAAACCAGCACCCTGGGGGTGGGGGGGGGGAGAGACACGCCTACCGCCTCCCTACACTCCTAGCGTCCTCGGGTAGCCAGAAACAGCCTCAGCCCAGTGAGGCGCCGGGCCCCTGCCGCACTTTAGCTCCGCCCCCGCCAGCAACCATTGGCCAGGTCGGGTCCTGGGGGCGGGGCGTTTGCCCCGCCTTTGCCGGGCCCGGGAACCCCCCCGGAGGCGGCCGCGGTGGCGGTGGAGGCAGCGGCGGCTGCGGAGCCATGGGGGCCGACGCGCGGCCTTTAGGGGTCCGCGCTGGCGGTGGCGGCCGGGGCGCGGCGAGGCCCGGGACGAGCTCCCGCGCGCTCCCGCCACCGCTCCCGCCTCTCTCCTTCCTCTTGTTACTGCTGGCGGCGCCTGGCGCTCGGGCCGCGGGATACGAGGTGAGCGCCGCCCGCGGGCGGAAATGTACGGAAGCTCGAGTGAAGCCCGAGTAGGATCGGGAGGTGTGGGTGGGTTTGTTCTGTGGGTGCCTAGTGAATGATTTGCTAATACGACAGTGTGGTCTGAGGGCATGCTTTCCGTCATTGAAAGGTCTGGCTGTGTGAGTCTGAGACTAGGGCTCTCTGTACCTGCCTCCCTGCTTCTGTGGGTTGGCTCGCCTGGACCTTGCACGCACGCAACTGTGTGATTGAACATATGTGTGTATGTGGGTGGGTGGGGGGGGGAGGGTGTTGCTTGAGAGCTGGGACTCTGGAGTCCGCCTGTCCCGAGTTGCAGTCTGGCTCCCTGACTTCCTGGCTCGTGACTTGGGGCAAGTCACTTAACCACTCTGATCCTCAGTGGTCTCATCTGAAAATGAGATAATATCGCCCCCACCCCCCAGGGTGGCTGCTTGGTATTTGCAAATGCTTGGTAAACATTAGCTACTGCTATTACCATTTCCCCACCGTGTGAATGAGAGCTTCCCTGAGGGATTGTGTCCAGTGGGAGCTTCTCTGAGTGTGTCCTCCCTGGAAGGGCCGAGCCCCATTTCTCTGAAGCACTCACCTCTAGATCGAGACTTATCTTGCGCCCCCACCCCAAACCCCTACCCCAGCTTGCCTCTTAACCTTGGGTAATTGACAGGGTGTGTGTGTTTGGGGTCCCTGTGCAGACATGCCCTATGGTACATCCGGACATGCTCAATGTGCACCTGGTGGCCCACACACATGATGATGTGGGCTGGCTCAAGACGGTGGACCAGTACTTTTATGGCAGTGAGTAGAGTGTGGGGGACTTACCCCTGGGACTCCCATGGCCCCTTTGAGCCCTTCCAATCCTTTCTGGGTCCTGGACATTAGGGTGGGGACAATGCCCAGCTTGGGCTCCTGTGTTGAAGAATATCCCCCCCCTTGGCTCGTTTGTCCCTGACTGCCTGACCCCTGTGTCCACAGTCCATAATGACGTCCAGCACGCAGGTGTGCAGTACATCCTAGACTCGGTCATCTCTTCTCTGCTGGTGGAGCCCACCCGCCGATTCATCTATGTGGAGATTGCCTTCTTCTCCCGTTGGTGGCACCAGCAGACAAATGCAACACAGGAAGTTGTGCGGGACCTGGTGCGCCAGGGTGAGCCTGCCCCAAGGAAGTGAAAAGAGGAAGCCCAGCTCAGCTGCTGTTTCTTTTTTAAAAAATTTTTTTTTCAACGTTTATTTATTTTTGGGACAGAGAGAGACAGAGCATGAACGGGGGAGGGGCAGAGAGAGAGGGAGACACAGAATCGGAAACAGGCTCCAGGCTCTGAGCCATCAGCCCAGAGCCCGACGCGAGGCTCGAACTCACGGACCGCGAGATCGTGACCTGGCTGAAGTCGGACGCTTAACCGACTGCGCCACCCAGGCGCCCCTCAGCTGCTGTTTCTGACACACTGCAGCTTCTGAGATTTTATCATGCCGTGTGCAGCCTGTGTGTGCATGTGGCTCCGCCTACCTGGAATTTCCCTTACTTGTAGAACTCCTATGCATCCCGCAAGGCCCCACCTCCAAGGGATCCTCAGGGGAGCCTGCCGTGCAGAATGCCCTCTCTTCCATATCTGACTTCATTGGCCTGGGAGTGACCCCTCTTCTCCCTCCAGGCCTGGGTTCACAGGCAGGTCTTCCTATCCCCTGCGTTGCCAACCCTGGCCCCATTCATGGCCCTGCCAATTGTCTTTGTCTTTCCGGGCACAGGGCGCCTGGAGTTTGCCAACGGTGGCTGGGTGATGAATGATGAGGCGGCCACGCACTATGGAGCCATTATAGACCAGATGACACTGGGACTGCGCTTCCTGGAAGACACCTTTGGCAAAGATGGGCGCCCCCGTGTGGCCTGGCACATTGATCCCTTCGGTCACTCTCGGGAGCAGGCCTCGCTGTTCGCACAGGTGATTTCCTGACCTCTCACGAACTGCCCATTCACCAGCTCTGACTTCTCCCTTGGCCACTCAAGCCCCACCCTTCCCTGCAAGCCCACAGGGACCAGGCCCTGTTCCCTGGCCCTTTGGCCCCTTGAGACCCTGCCCCTTGGGTGAGTTGTGAATCCCATTACTGCTACCCACGCCCCGCCGCCGCCCCGCAAAAAAAACCCCGCTTCTCTGCTCTGCCTCGGCCCAGGCTGACTCCACTCCGGGCCCCACACCTGCCCCTCACTGGAGCCCCCACCCCCTTTTGCTATGATCCCAGCTCCTCCCCAGTCCAGGTGGCAGGTGGAGGCCTGCCCCTCTTTTCCACCAGTTTCGTAATCTTTGCCTTGACCCGGCTCCCTTTCCATGCTCTGATTCCTTC